TTGCAAATGCTCGCACAACAGGCGTACATACATACAAACGAGAAAGTATGCGAGCATTTGCAAGACGTTTAAATAAATACTTTTTGTAGCAGAGCCACGCTTCAAATTTTTTTAACAATCTTTTTTTAGACAAGTTAGTTTTGAAATATAAGTATAAAAATTGTTACACTGTTTAATTATTTTTTTCTAGGCGCCGGTGTTAATTTCGACTGTCTGGAATTTATCACAGCGGAGGAAATTAAGGAGGCGATTCCGCCAATTGGAATTAGAGTACTCTTCCGCGAAAAGCTGTTCGCTTGGAGGAAAACAAAGGTAAGACATTAATATCTCTATGTCCAAATTTCTTGGTAACTTTCTTTGTTTATTTTTATAGTTTACTCAAGGAATATCTTCGCAACCATCGTCTCCAAAGCCATCACCACAAAAGGCACCGCCAGCACTTTTATCTCCGTTGCCGTCTAATGCGCCTAAGTTCAAATACACTCTTAACAAGGTATGAGTCTTTAAGTTATAATAATTAGGTATTTATTCAGTTGGATAACCAATACCCTAAGTCTAATATTAATTATTAATTATAATTACATATTTTTCATAGAGCTTGAATTCAATTTTAAGTGGAACGGCTGCTGGAAAAGAACTTCTAGCATTTAAAACACTGACTGAAAAGCAAAGAGGCATTCTCATTAATCATATTATTGAGGAAATAAAAAACAATAACATCAACCTTCAAGTATGCAGCTTTCCAAATTTGTTGGACGAGCTGTCAAATTTTCATACTTATGTCTTAAATAATGATAAAAAAACTATAAGATTAAAATTTATTTAGATTTTTAATTTCGAATATAGATGTATAAAAAAACAAATCTTAAAAAAGCTGTCTTGATCTAAGAAAATCTCTTCTTGATTTCAGTAAATACGTTCTTGGCTCACTATTGAGCACGGAAATACTGAAATCGAGACTGTTGAGAACGTTTTTTTTTCTCGGTGTAGTCATGTTTTTCCAATATAAATGTTGTCGTATTTTTGACAAAGTTTTGGCTATTCCGGTATGGCCCCCTTGCAGCGGATCGTCATGGTTTTCAGACAGGATAGCTTCTTTATCTTTCAAATCTTCTATTATGGTCACTTGTTTGAATAGCGCTACTCTTAGTTTTTGTAATATCCTATTGCCCATTTTTTTAAACGAATCAACTGAATTATTTTCAAAGATTTCTTCACACAGTGCCATTTTAAATTGGCTGATCTTGTATATACCGGCTTCCTTTTCAAGCCTTTGAAAAATTGATCTTAATCAAATGTATTATTGGTATATAGATCGCTAACATTTATTCTTGCAATAACTCTTTTACCATGTTTAAAATAGCATGCCAAATTAGTTAAATGCAATTAGTTAATTTCGTCGTTGTTCAGGACGTCGTATATTTTGAGCATAGAAGCTTCTTCAACAAGCTGCCTAGGCAGATGTGCTTGATATTCCCTGCGCAGGGTTAATTCTGTCTGTACTGATTTCTTGTATTGCTTGTAATATTTGTTTTTGCATGTTTTTTAGTTCTTTGATGGTTATTCAAGTTAACGCATCAGCAACGTAATTTACCTTTTCCTTAAGATACTCAACTGTAAATTCGTGTTCTTCCAAATCTAATCTTATTCTTGTTAATTTAGAGCTTGGATGAACCATAGAAGAGAGGAATGTTAATTATTATGTCGCCCATAAACTTATGGTCTAAAAATGGTTAATTGCCCAATGTATTGCTAATAGTTCTTGTTCCGTTGTGCTTTTATTTGATTCTCCTTTAGTAAATGATCTCGATGTGTAAGATACAGGAAGCGGTATGCCACTATGTTCTTGTGTAAGGACTGCTCCGCAAGCTTGTTTACTTGCGTCCGTGATTATGCAAAATTCTTTAAAAAATCGGGGTATTGAAGTAATGTTGGACTCATTAATTTTTTCTTTAATCAAAAGCATTTTGGCACTCTGGTGTCCATACAAATTTAACATCTTTTTTGCATAATCTAGTTATGTGTGCGATTGTCATTATACGCTGAAAAAAATTTGGGGTTATTTTCGACCCGTTAGGTAATCGTGTAAACGATAAGAGCCATTGCTCATTAAAAATGAAGTTATATTTCTGGATAATTCCTCTAGTCCAATTTGGTGGAATCCGGACATAAGATCTAAACAAGAGAAATATTTTGCTCGACCCAATTGATTGAGTATATCATCGATTTGTGGATCTTATCTGCTAAAAGTTTTTTATTAATTATTAAACAGTTTTTTATTTATTATTAAATTATTAAACAGTTACTAAACGCCATCTTTTCTCCTTTGAGTCAGGTAATAATTTTTTTGGAAAAAGTAAAAGAGGGCTATTACATTCTGATACTGACGGCTCTACGATTTTATCTTTGTGGGCTTCTATAGTTTTTAATATACACGGGTTCATCATCTTTCGCTCTTCATTTTGGCTTGTAGAAATTACTAGTAGATATCGATTCGGTTTCAATACCGAATATGTCACTATATTTTGAACAAAGATTTGTTAAGAATTTTATAAATTGATTCGGAAAATTTTGTTTTAGCTTATCAATGATTTTTCCGTTTCTATTTGTGCCATTTAAGTTGACAATATTATTTACTACTATTTTTACTATTTTGTTTTTATTTGTAAAGTCTAAAATTCGGACAAATGTGGTTTGGGGATCTGGAATTTTATTTGCTATGAATATACCATCTTCAATTTCTTGATTTGGTATTAGGAGGGTTTTATTTGTTTCGGTTAAATTTATTTTTCTAATTAAGTAGCTGGTATAATTATTTCGTTAGTTTCTATGTTATGAAGGATTGGAATTTTTGTCGAAAATTTTAAATTTTGAGGTCTTAAAATGATACGGGGTTTATCTTGATTGAAGTCTTTTCCAATTATTCCGTCAACCAGTATTGAAAAGTTATGAGGAACTATATGAAAGTTATGTGGTATTATATAATTGATCGTTCTTAATTTAATAAATGATAGTCCTATTGTGGTTCTTGAGACTTTGCCTGTTACTGATATTTTTGTATATTGTTATTGAAATCCGTGTCAACGAAGTTGTCGGAATTTTCTTTAATAAGGGAAAGGTGAGTGATTTTTGTGTAAATTCATGTTTTACTTTTATAAATATTTAAATTAAGAGTAATAGAGCACACTGTATGGTTTTTTATTGTTGACTTATTAAGGGAGCTTCCTCGTTTTTATGAGTAAGTTTGAGCCATTCTTACGGAGTTATTTCTGTTGTGTTGAATGGTGTAATTTGTATTGATGCTTGTTGGCCTCTATTGACCTCGATAATTTCCTCGTCCTCGGTTATTGTAATTATTATCAAAATTATTGCAGTTATTATAATTATTTTGATAATATTTTTGGCCATAGCCTCTTCCTATAGTTTCATCTATAGTTATTACCACGTAAGCATTGATTTTTGTTGGTATCAAATACATTGTCAGCATTTCCTGTCGTTCCGTGCTGCAGTGTATTTTGTAACGTCTTCGTTCATTGGTTTGAATGTGCCGTCTTCCAGAATGGCTTTTAATCTTGCAATTCAACAATTCTTTATTATTGTAGAAATAGCTTCTTCTGTACTGAACGTGTCTGTACGTTCGTCTATACGGTTGTTTTTTTCCATCGAACTCTGGAATGGTCGAGGTTATATCTTTCATGTATGCTCTATTGACAATCGAGTCGTTTGTCATATTGATGCTATTATTTTTCTAATTTTCTTATAACATATTTCCGTCGGAGTCCGAGTTTTCCTGATTCGACAGTTCGGTCAGCATTAATAACACTGGGCTAGTCAGGTTGTGTATGACCTCGGTTTTTGGGAATTCGGTATCTGTGTTGGTTTCGATTAAATCCTCTGTGTCGGATTTTTTATCTTCTGTTTCTTCTGATTTCAATTCCTTCTCAAACATTAATGGTGTATTAAGGATAGATGTAATTGAAATGTCTAACTTATATTTTTGTTTTATAATTTTAAGATTGTTTTTAAATTAAGATAATAATTTTAAGATATCTGTCCAGTATTTACTGGACAATTTAAATCTGTGTTCTTAAATTATAAGACGTGCTTTATTATGTTTTTGTATGGTTGTTCCCTGAACATTCCGGTTTTCAAAAGACATTTGTATGAATTGTCGAAATTTGTTCTGATTTCTTTTAATATATCAGAAATAGTTTTTCCACCCATTAGGATTTATTTTAGAATAATTTTAAAGATGATTACATTGCCAAGCAAAGAATTTTTATCAATGAAAGAAAAAATACATACAAAGGCGAATTCAAGCGCAGGGCAGCCTTCTTCAAAAAGCGCCTCTCTGCGACTGAACGACTGAACTCGTGCAGTGAGTGCGCGAGCATAAAAATGAGAACAAGAATGCGAGAGCAAAAAACCCGAACGCACACGAAGTGCAGGGGCCTGCTGCTGTGAGCCAGGGGCCTCCCGCGTTCCATTTTGTGTCCAAATGCCTTGTATGAAATAACCAGTCTATATGTTGTATGGTTAGTGGTCCTATGCTGCGCAGTCGGCGCTGCTGATCAAGCCGGCGATTTACTTTTATTTCTCTGACTCTTTCTTATAAGACGCTTTATCGCACTCTTAATAGTCTGGTTAGGCGTTCAACCTCTCTTAGAGGAGCAATTACAAAAATTGCGGAGATCCGATTTTTGAAATGCATTTTTCGCTTTCATTATGCTTAAATATTATATATGTACATCTTTCCACTTTATTTCATTTATTAAATCCTAACGCGACTAATAAAGATTTATATATATTGCGTTAGTCACCACGGTTTGAGTAGAAGTTTTAAATAAAATAAATAATTTAAATGTATGTTCTAAATTCCACCATTTCGAAATTGCCGTTAACTTACCGACGCTTGTTTGACATACATGTGGCGGATTTGCCTCTGTGGGAATAAGATGTAATAAATAATAAAATATATATATATTTTTTGATATCGATATAAATCGAAAAGTGTTTGTGTTTTAAATTGCATTCTGTAAAATAAAAACCACGAGTCATAAGCAATGTCATACAACCTTGAAGGAATGCCAGACCAACAATTTCTTTGGAATGTGTTTCAAAGGCAAGGCTCACTAAGCTTACCTTCAGACTTGGATAAAACAACAATGTTACTTTCAGAGTCGATAAAGACAGGAGTGGTCATATCTCTGCTGATGAGCTACAAGTGGCTCTTTCGAATGGTACATGGTCTGCATTTAATCCCGAAACGATCCGTTTGATGATTGGAATGTTTGATCGGGAAAATAGAGGGACCGTTTCTTTTCAAGATTTTGGAGCGCTGTGGAAATATGTGACGGACTGGCAAAATTGCTTTCGATCATTCGATCGTGACAATTCAGGAAACATCGACAAAAATGAACTGAAGACAGCACTGACATCATTTGGTTACCGTTTATCCGACCACCTAATTGACGTTTTACTAAGAAAATTTGATCGCTTTGGACGTGGAACAATTCTTTTTGATGATTTTATTCAATGTTGCATTGTGCTATATGTAAGTATAAACATTACTCAGGTACACAACTTAAAAATTCCAATTCTACTTTTCCATGATAATTGGGTGCTCCTGAGTAAAAGTCCCATACAAACTAATATCATTAGCAAAGGGATCCGCGATATTATTATATATATTATTAATTATATATTATTAACTAATTATTTAGCCCACATAACTAGAGTTACTAAATTTTGTTTTGCCGAAAAAAAACTCTTGATACACCACCGTCCTATAAAGAAGAAGGAACGCTGTACTCGAGTGCCTCGACTATTAGATGCCCTTTATAACTATTCAGACAGGCTGCTTTCCTGCTTCAGCGAACAAATTAGGTTTCAGCTGTTTTTTCTTCCCTAAGAGGTGAATGTACTAGACAGAGGTGAAAAACATCCGCTTCAACTAGTTGAAGTTAGTAAGCTGTAAATTCGGTAGTGATTCAGTATTTTAAAAGTATTAAGATGATTTTTACTTGTATGTATATATTGGTATTTTTTCTCCAAGGAGATGCATTTTGGCGAAATCTGCGTCTCTAAGGTATTTACCTCTGATTGTAATAAAATGAAAAAATTCCATTTCGATAATATGAAAGAATAGGAAATTACTTTGGTTTACCTGCTGGTCAAAATGCTGTCTTTGTCATTCCTGGCACCTTTAATTGCTGTCTTTATTTTCTTATCAAACAGAATTACCTCTGGACGAGGTAAAATTAACGTGACGATCACAACTTCAACTCCAAAAACTTATAATAATAAAAAAGCTAGATTTAACACGACCACAACTTCCAATCGACTAAAGTAAGGTGCTGTATACTGTTAAAAAGGTATTTTTAAGGGCTATTTACGTTTCTTTAATATATTTTTTCAAATAAAATAATTACGGAAGTATAGCCCAAAGTATGTTTTTGTGATCACATCTTAGCGATTTTTTTGAAAACGCCATATAGATATCTTTTTATTTTTGAGTCCCTTATAGCTTTTGAGGTTGCGCAAATTTTGATATATAACACATTTTTCTCTAAAAACTTGGTTTAGGGACTTATTCCGCGTTTAAAAATGCAACCCATTTCATAACATTTTTTCCTTTTGTAAACTTTAATAAAAATTGGTTCTTGTTCTGTACAAATTAAAACACAAGAAATGAAGCAACCTTTAACAAGCCGAAGTTTATATACCCTTGCCGCTTTTGCAATAGAAAAATCTACCGATTTTAATCAAATTAAAAAAAAACTAACTAACAATAATTATAATTTTTTCCTTTCACACCTCTTGACGAGGTAAAATTAACTTGACGCTGCTTTCAAATGATTAAGTATCAAGGCTCATTTTATTGTGCACCTTTGTGAAGATTACGAAACAAATTAAGTAATTTTTTTGGTACAATAAAAATATTCGTTACAAAATGTGATATCAGAAGTTTTTGGAGTTGAAAGTGCGATCATCATCGCATTTCCTATAAAGTATAGATATAGTCTTGATCAGTATATGAAACGAAATGTAACCTTCTTTTTTTTAATATGTTCAAAAAATTCGTTTGAGCGTAGAAATGGTTTAATAATTTATTTTATTATTAATTATTAATTACTAATTTTATTCAAATCAAAAAACGATATCAAATAACTTCCATAGGAACGATCGAACAAGTGATCTTAAAATTATAACAATGTTTTTAAACATCGAAATTTTAATATTTTAAAGAACAAAATTCTTTCGAATAGCTGCCACCCTTTTTTTTTGGAATAGTTGCAATGGTATACAAACTTTTACTTGCCGAAGTTTTCTTTCTGTCTTGTTTTACGCCAGGTTTTGAATTACTGTTCGGTTTATTTTGGCATTATTATTTAAAGCAACAACAAATATGTTGTACATTCTTTTACAAACCGAATAGCTTTTAATATGTCAAATTTTTGATTTGCCTGAAATTTTTATTATGGAGAAATAAATGCAAAAGAAACGAAGTGATAGGACCGCTACAGCAGAAGATTTAAAATTTCATTCAAAGGTTATTTTATGGTATGTGTGGTATTTTCTTATATTATAATTTAAAAAAAAAAAAGTGTTCTACAAAACCCTGTTACACGTGTTTACTTATTAAAAAAATTTCAGACAAATCAAAAATGTGAAAATTTATTTTTTCAAATCCACTTGTGTAATAATAATTAAGTAAATACATTTATATTGCCCTTAAAGTGTTACTATAATCAGAACTGTGTTGCTTTTTTTCGCTGTCGCTTTTCTTCACGGACGACAAACGCTTTTTGTTTTCGTTGTATTTTGGTCGACGATCTATATTCATTAAGGAAAGGCATGAGTTCTTTCGGAAACCATTTTTAAAAAACCGCTTTGACTAAAAATCTAGATTGGAATAATGTTTGTAACATTAAGCTATCAAATATATGTAAATGGTTAGTAATTTTTTAAGAAAAAAATGGATATACATATTTTGCAAAGCCTTTTAGGCAATAAACAGCACGCTCTCGTGGAAAGATAACATAAATGCCACAGTAAGGAAATTGTATGGAATGCTCCGACAACTTAACTTGACAAAATCCTTAGAGCCTAGTAATATTCGTCCTCCTCTTTGTTTCGAAGTTTTTGGAAAATGTGATTCATCAGTTTTTAGAAATGCCGTTCGTCTGTGAAACCAACTTCCAAATAACATGAAATTAATTAAAAGCACTGCCCAATTCAATACAAAAAATCTCTATATGAATGCACACCCTTAAATTTATTTAAATTAAATAAAACAAGAAAGGAAGCAAACTTCGGCAAGCCGAAGTTCATATACCCTTGCAGCTATTGCAAGAATTAAATATTTTTGAAAACATTAAAATTATGATTTACCTGCGTATATGTTTAAAAACATTGAAGCTATGATGATTTGCAGCTTTATTATAAGACAGTTATTTTATATATTTATATTATTTCTATGGTAGCTATATGATATAGTCGTCCGATTTTGATAAATTTTAAACCGTAATTCTGAAATATTTAACCATTGCTATATGTCGAAGAACTGATAAAAAAAATTAAAAAACAGCAAAGTAATAATTTTTTTTGTATTTTTTTCCGATTGTTCCTTTGTGATTTCGTCCGATTTTGATGAAATTTAAAACGTAATTCTAAAATACTTAACCATTACTATATGTCAAAAACTAATAGAAACATTAAAAAACGGCATAGTTATAATTTTTTTTGTATTTTTCCTATATAGTAGTCCGATTTTCCTGAAATTTAAACCGTAATTCGGAAATATTTAACCAAGAAGAAATAAAAAAAAAAATTAAAAAACGGCAAAGTTATAATTTTTTTTAATTTATTTTTTCGATTGTTCCTATGGGAGCTATATGCTATAGTCGTCCGGCTCGTTCTGACTTATATACTGCCTGCAATAGAAAGACAACTTTTGGGAAAGTTTCATGCAGATAACTTTAAAACTGAGAGACTAGTTTGCGTAGAAACGGACTGATAGACGGACATGGCTAGATCGACTCGCCTAGTGATGCTGGTCAAGAATATATATACTTTATATAAACTTCTGATTGAAATTATAATACCCTCTGCAAAGGTATAATAACAGCTATAAGAATAAGTAAAAATTAAAAATTTTAAAACCATAACGAATAAAGCATATAAACAAAATAAAACAAAAATTATTAGTATTAATATATATGAATGCTAACGTTAGGAAGCCCAATCAAAAATAACAATTAAATCAAATCAAATCAAAATTTTGTACTTTTATCGTTAATTTTGTATTATTACACTGTGACTGTGCCCTTATAAAAATTTATGCTTAGCTTGTAGCACTAGGACGTTGTCGCAAATAAAAAAATGTACATACATATTTGTTGTTGTTTTGAATAATAATGCCAGAATAAAAGTTGTGTAATTCAAAACCAGCAAATGCATATGTACTTACATAAAATTAAAACCACAACATTTTTAAAATGGAAACAAATAAGATTTGTTCAAATTTTTAATTTCAAGGCCAAACATTATTTGCAGTTCTACTCTGCAACACCGAAGTGCGCTAAAGCATTGCTCGTACAAGTTCATGGCTTCCCTTTATAAATATTAAACAAAAACACTTCTTGACGAGGCAATAATAAAGTGACGATGCAATGTGACTCAAAAAATTTCTGATATTAAAATTAACTATATTTTTATTTAGTTTCGTAATCGGCTCACTGTATTGAAAGTAACAAGGCTGATTATATTATGCAGCTTTGTGCCTTATAGCTGACAAAGAAACGATCGACATCTACACAGCCAAATCGTAACAACTTAATTGTTCTTAGAAATATAGGCATATCATTCAAAATGTAGTTGTTTTCGGCTTAGGCTTAAGCTTGTCGAGCGTTTTTTAAATTCAATCAGAAGTTTGCAACGCACCGAAGGAGACAATTTCGACCCTATAAAGTACACATTATATATAAATGATTAAAGTACACATATATTAATGATTAAAGTACACATTATATATTAATGATCACAATCACTAGGAGAGTCGATCTAGCCGTGTCCGCCAGTCTGTCTGTCTGTTCGTCCGTGCGTTTATCCGTTTCTACGGAAACTAAGCTCTCAGTTTTATAGCTATCTGCATGAAACTTTCCCAAAATATCTCTTTCTATTGCAGGTAGTATATAAATCGGAGCCAGCCGGATATATATCAAATACGAATAAATCAAATAGCTCCCATAGGAAAAATCAGGAAAAAAAACAAAATTCTGAGTTATTGAACCATTTCTATATCCAAAACAAATTAAAAAAAAGTGAAAAATAGACATGTTTAATCAAACTGAAACTGTAATTCTGAAATAATACACAGTGCCTATATCGTCAAGAAGCAAAAAAAAAATTAATAACAGAAAGGACGGACTGACAAACAGACCGGCGGATATGGCTAGAAAGAATCTCCTAGTTATGCTGATCAAGTATATTTACTTTATAGGGTGGAAAATGTCTCTTTCAGTTCGTTTTCCAAAAAGTTGTTTTTCTGTTGCAGGTAGTATATAAGTCATGTTGTGACAGATCCTATAGATCCTATTCGTTGACTTTCAAAGGTTAAATTCTTGGAGTTGTTGTGATATTGACTACTGGCCGCTCTCTTGGCCGACGCTAGCAGAGTTCCATTAAGTCCCTATGTTAGATTGCTGTTCTGTTATTTATGTTATGGAATGTATGCGGATATTCAAGGTGCATTTATTTGTTATTCAGGATTAACTCTTCAGTTAATATCAGAGACCGACCTCTGGGAAATTCTCTTTGCGGTATTGATAGAAACGACTCGTACTAAACCATCGGTGCCGGGTTGTATATCGATGATTTGGCCTAGTTTCCATTCGGAAGGATTGGTTCGATAATCTTTGATCATCTTAATCATAAATTTGCAGACAGTCGATTTAATAGTGCCATTTGAGATATGCCTGCAGAATTTCGAAACAGTCTTTGACCAATCTTGAATTGGGTATCAAGGGGAGAATCCTTTAAGCTGGGTTCCTGAAGTGACATCATCGATTAAAAAATGATCCGGGGTTCGGGCTTGTAAGTCTCCTAGTTCTAGGTCTTGAGTTAAGACAAGCCTCTATTTGGACGAAAATCGTCTTTAATTGCTCGTAAGTCACTTGAATACAGTTAAACGACGGTATGTTTTTACAGCCTTGACGTTGGATTTCCAAAGTCATCCAAAATGGTTTAAGTGCCACTGAATGCTTCGACGAGTGAGTTCTGAAACGACTGAGTCTTCCGTTTCCTGACGAAACTCGTTGCATACACAACTGAATGGACGTACGATGAAATAAAGTTGAAATAAAGATCCACAGTTGCTATAGACTATAGTCCTCTACAGGAAATGCTGTGTCGACATATTCGTTATCTAGACATATGAAAACAGTAATGTACACTTTATACTAAGTGTGCCTGGATGATTTCCATAGCGCCAGTGTAGTTCACTGTTGTTGCTTCGAATGAGCTTTTTTTAGGTGCGCTGATAAATCTCCCATTAGATGGCTTGAAAGGCCGGTGATTAAAACACACCACGCATTCTTGGAGGATCTTTTTCAGCTTGTTTACCGTTGATTGCCAAAATACTTGCTGAATTGTAGCCAAAGTAAAGTTAACGCCTCCATGTAAAGTTGTAATAGGCGTTCCCTTTCACCAGAACCGTAAAGTGGTGTTCCTTTGGAAGTATTATTGCTGTATTAATGATGTAATGCATTACTTAGCCTACAGCGAACTCTCCCAATTCTTTGATTGTGTGTTTGGCTAGAAACTTATTTGCTTTTAATTTTAATATCCGAATAGTCTTATTGCTGAACAATTCGCACCAGTTAAAATAAATCTTTTTAAGGTTCAGATACTTGAATGGGACCAGTAAAACGAGCGTCCTTTTTGTTACGAGTATTTTGAATAAATCTTCTGATGTAGGCTGTGATGCAATTAAGATTATTAAAAATGAATATAATTTGATGAAAGATTGAGATTTTATGCAAGTGAGAATTGCAAGATGCTGCGAGACTTGTTCCTCGCAAATAACTGTAGAAATTATTGGGTGGCTGGTGTTGTGTTTTAGCTGACAGAAAATAAGTCCGCGCGTTGCTGGAATTTCTTGCGTAGGCACATGTTTCCTCGGGGACGGGGAACTTATCCCTCGTATGGTTTCGATTCGATTTGAAGTAAAAGTTTTCAAACATTTCGGATCTTAGTTAATCCAATAAAGAATTATCATTGTGTCCGACCAGTAGTTCACGGACACGATGTATTGCAATGCTTGCAGTTGGTTGCAGATCCTTTTGGCTGTTGTGTACAAAGTACTGCTTCGGATAATTCCACTCTGGGAATTGTGAGTTATTTGGTCTGGTGACATAAATGCGGGCTGCTAGTTGGTACATTTTCTCGTTTCCGTCAGTACATTGAGCTCGAAAATATGAGCATACAGCATACACCGAGGATGATCCGTCACAAAACATGTGAAGTTGTAGAAATTACACGTTTCTTAACTCGACCCATAACCAACGAGGGATGGAGATGTATTGAACATCTGGAAGGTGCTGTATGATCTATTGCCATCGAAAACTCTAAACTTCTTTCAAGAGTATCTTGGAAGCGATGATGACTTGGGCCAAGAATCCCAACGGATTGAATAAGCGTTCTACTGTGGATAGTTAAAAGCGCTTATTGAAGGTTGCATTCAAGGAAAATTTAATTTTACACCATTATAGATCTCTACTAGGATTCCAAGCCTAATGTTTTGATAGAATATTTGTTGTTTATCTCGAAAATTTTATTGTTGGAAAGTTCTAATGCTAGAACATTTTTTCCAAGAGTGTCGAATGGTTGGATGCTCATTTTTTTAACTCTATTCCTGCGATGACATCGTTGCAAGTTCTGAAGAAGAGAATTGAGATCCTGAGCAGGAGCTATGGTGAAGACGGTGCTGTGTCTGCACTGGTTGTGGGAGGAAGTACCAATTTCTCAATCAAGTCTATGCTGACCAGTCGATTGTGAATATTCTAAAGCCTGTGTTGTGATGTAGGTGATCAACAATCATCACATTCCTAAATGCATGTACATTGGGTATGTTTAAAAAATTTAGAAGATCCACTGCGATCTCTTTGGACAGTGGCTCGATTTTTTCATTCATATTGTGCATTAACTGCAGGCGAGGATTGTTGTAGCTTGTTTCCACAAGGTTCCATACAACTGCATAGTTTGTCTTTTAGATCTGACAAAGCATGCTTCAAGAAATGGTATTTCTGAATATATAGTTGTTCGTGTCATTGTATAATATTACGTTAAGTAATGGTGATAACTGTTCCTTTCTTCATTCCCTTAACTGTAATGTACTATTCAGGGCCGGTCTCTGGCAAGGAACAAGTCCTTTCTGGGTTCTTCGTAATAAATACAACTATCTCAGCCATGTCCTGTTGTTCAGAATCTCTTTAGTGTCCAATTATAATAAATTGTCAACTTTTTTATCTTGTTCTGTTTTGTAATTCTTTGTAAATACCATTCGATGTGAGCAGGGGCATATCGTAAAAAAATTTCTCTTATTGTGGTTTGTCAATATATAGGTATTACAAGCAGTTCATTGCTATGATACTACAAAAAACATGTTCTATCGGTTTGAAAGCAGAGTGTACTAATAACACAAATACACTGCCAAAAAATTCCACGAACCATATGTACTTTTCCATCACAGCCGGGTGCTCCTGAGTAAAAGTCCTATACAAACTTCTGTTCCATCAGCTAATGTTTCTGCGGTATAGCTAAGAATACAAAAATCCGATGTTAGACGACAAATAAAAATTCTTCAGCGCTAGAAATTATCCATTTCTTTGGAATATTGCGCAAACCATTTCTCCATTCTTAAAGGGCCTCTACGAAATACGTATTCAATGGAATAAATTTCTCTTGGTATCTAATGTATGTGTGTTGTAATTTTGGTTAAAATAGTATTTGTGTATATAGTTAGGTTTTTTATAGCATTTAAAGTAAAATTGTTCGTGTATTATCTGCTGCTTTTTTATCATCCAATTTTAAATTTATTTCTTAGAACTCAGAGCATACATTTTATTAGTAAAAGAACAAAATTAATACAGAAATCACAAAAAGACCTTTAAAAAAAATGTATGTTAACATGTTATAATTTTATTTTCCAGACTTTAACAACTGCATTCCGGCAACACGACACTGATATGGATGGGATCATAACCATACATTATGAACAATTTTTAAGCATGGTTTTTGCCTTAAAAATATAATTTATTTTTTCAAATACCAACTTATTAAAAAAAAAAATTTTTTTTCTAAAAAAATCGAATTTTTACTATTAGGTTTAAATTCTATTCTGTTTTAATAATGGGCACAATGGGAAGTTCTGCTCACAGCTAATAGACTAAAACTAAGCGAAGATTTATATGTATTTTTGGCCGCTGTTTAAGCTGTACTGTTAACCTTATCGGTTTGGAAAAAAAGTACTTAAAGCCGATCGCGTGCCTTACAGATTTCACGTCGAACGTATCAACAAAGCTTAGAAACAATATGGTTTCATCTGAGGTACCAGTGCTGCCAGAATTTCTGAATCAAAAATTGCTAGATTAATAATATATATATATTATATATTTGGTGCAGCTTTTCAAGCTGAAAACTGCTCCACAGGGTGAATGTGCAATGTGAAGGCATAGTGCCGGTTTTTGTTCCTCCGTTTTGTTGACTTCCCAACAAAAGGCAACTTATTTTATTTTATGTAAATGCGCCCATCACAACCGGCAAATGGGGGCGAATATCAAAAAGTTTTGCACCTACTGCTGGATTACAATACGCATAGTATGTATGTATCAGTGCAGTCCTTGCGAATCCAAAATAAAGGCAAAAATGATAACGAAAAATAAAAAATTGCTCGTAACTAAGTTGCTAAAATTTCGAACAAAAGGTAACTTATTTTTTTGGCGTTAATGCACCCATCGCAGCCGGCGAATGGTGGTGAACATAAAAAAGTTGGGGACCTATTGCAGATTTTCAATACGCAAATGCACCAGTACAATCCTTGCGAATCCATTGCTATAACTCTTTATCTTGCATTAACTTTTGGCATCTTAACCCAACAACACAGGAAACGAGTGATCAGTTGTTGAAATAATCGAATCACTGATTTCTGAACAATTAAGGTACAAGGTATTTGAAAAAATATGTACTTAGGTAACGTTAAAGGTACACAATTTTGTATGAATCCAGGTAAGATAAAAAGGCACAAAAAAGGTAAAAAGCTTTTTAAATACCATTTTTTTTATTAAATTTAATTGTTTTGTTCTTCACGAAGATGCAGGGAATCGTGATATTGTGTATGTGTTGTTGCATAAACATGTAACAAGAAACATCTTTTATCTTGCATGTGCGGTGGAATTCACTTTTTTTTAATTTGCAGTGAAATTATTTATATTTTAATTACAACTTGGAGAAAAGGATAAGGAATTAATTTTAGTGGTATAAAGCTAATTTGATACTAAATTTAAATAAAAATAGTTCAGTACCTAAATACATATTATAGCAAATTTTTAAGATAAATAAAATCTTTACCTAGGTAAGGTAAAATGTAGCCTCATATTTGCTTACCTAGGTAAGGTATAAGGTTTCAAAAAAGTGTACCTTGGTAAAAGTTTGTAGGTACACCCAAACACTGGGTGTCAATTACTTTTTTATAGATAGCTAGACGTTTTGACTTTTATGGATTTATTTGTAGACCATTCAGCTTCGACTATTTGCTTATGGCAGACAATTCAGCACTGGACATTACTACACATTCATTTAATCTACACAAAGGACGCGATAAACTTGTACGTCATCACTATACATATGGACTTTACAAGACGACACTATATTTGCAATCTTATAAACATAAATAAAATATCAGTGGTCCTAAAACTGGTCCCTGTGAAATTTGTGTGCAGAGCTGCTCAAAGTTTGAAAGAGTGTTACTATGGCCTGCCGTCTGCAAACTAAATAGGATCTTCCAGCACAAAATATTGTGGCTCACAGTATCGAAGGCTTTGCTAAAATCAATTAGGGTCAACAAGGTTACTTTTCCTTCCTCCTTGCTTACTCTTGTTTCCTCGATTATGTTCAGTAAAGCTGTTTCGCAGTTATTTTTTACTGCGTTATTCAACAGACCATTTGCCTCAAAATATTTGCTTGGTTATTAAGTTTTCGGTCAATTTATACAGGAAGGGTTTAATTGATACTGGGTCACCATTTGCCTTAGCCATTGGAAGTTTTCTGGCGTCCTTCCAGGGAAAACGGGATTGGTTAACACGCTGTTTATGACAAAAGTGACATATGGCAAAATCTGTGGCAAAAGAATTTTAATAAACTTGGGGGTTAATGTCATCAATTCCGACCGCATTTGATCGTATGTTAAGGACAGCTTCAACTATATAACATTCACTTACACACATTACTCTAGATCTAGTATCACTGGTTATAACACAGTTATTATTAATCACAACATGATCACCGTATTCATTAGACTATGAGACCTCAGGTACTAAGCATTGCACAAATATTCGGTTGAACTCGTTTATGTCCGAATCAATTCCAAAATTTTTTTTCCAACTCCTAGTGCCTTGAGGTCTTTACATGTTTGACGAGAACTAACTGTATTGTTGAGTTATGCATGAAAATAATTACATTTACTTTTCTGAATTCGTTCCGTCACTATGCTAACAAATTGTAGTCAATATTTTTAAAGTAGTCAATATTCCCTAAAAGTAATTGGATAGATAGATTCGATAGAAATGTTAGAGGTAATGAAAATAAGGTCATGTTCTACTAGAATATGGTCAGATTTGTTTAAAAAAATTCGGAGAGTGTTGCAGGTACTAGAAATATGAGTTGCAAATGAGGAATTTACTATAGTCATTCCAGCAGGTATCATATTATTTTTTAAATGAATGCTGTTCATATCACCTGCCAATATTATATTGCTGTATGTCATAGAAATATCACAGAATAGGGAGAAAAATTCGTTACAACCATAAATTTTCTATTTGAGCAGATCCCACAATTTCAATAAATATGTATTCCATTGCACTATCACTCCCATTTTTGTTAATTACTTTGGCCTTAAATCTCTTATTTTAATAAATTGCAACCCTCCGGCACGTCCGTTACAATCAGCACAATACAAATTAGATCCGTCACAAGATACAAGACAATTACTCACATCGGAAGAGAACCATGTTTCGGAAACACATTGTTCAAACATGAACACGTAAAAATATAAGTATATGAGCTGAGCACTTGAGTAAAAAAAAAAAATATATACACATAATATGTAAAATTACCTCCTACGAGCGGTTTTTTTTCCCCCAAGTTATGGACAAACTAGCCACTCGGTGGGATATTAGAAATAAGATAATAATCCCGATTATAAGATTTTAGGAGCTCGTTCGTTGCATGGCACATTGTCGATCGATCCAAATCGAGCCAAAATTTACGATCTGTCACCTAAACCATGCAAGGGAACAGTTATTAGCACTTGTACTCTGTAAGTGCAGGCCACTTACGTTTGGCGATCGATATTCGTAAAAAAATTGTTTCTTTCTTTATTGCAAGAAAGAACAGATTTATGCTTCATTTTCAACACATTCACTTAGAGTGGATATTCCGGTGTGATTTTAGAATATTTGGTGTTAGGTTTATACAGCTTTAATTAGAACTTGTGAAAATGTTTATGGATCACAAGAGAAACACAGTCCTTCCACCGAAATTATCAACGAATTGTGTCAGTAGGGGTAAGACTTACGAGCTCACGCCAGTGTGCCATCTTCCTTTTTAGCTCCCTCAAAAAACTAACATTCAACCTCCTTCTTTCCTTTCAGAATATAAATGGCTTGCGTAGCAAGATTATTTATTTGAATTCTGTTAGTTTTTCCTTTGCCCTTCATATTATTGTGTTTACAGAAACCTGATAAAGTCCGGAGATTCTAAGTTTTTTCAGGTAAGTAGACATCTTAGTGGCATAATCGTACATTTAAATGCAACGGTGAAGTACTAATTGCCGTGGACTCTAACCTCGCGGCAGAAGAAATTCCTTTTGAGGAATTTAATAATATTGATTAGATTCCATAAAATTTTCGATCTGAACTTTTCGATTATTTTTATCACCTTTCCGCTATCAAGTCAGTTTCTAATAAATTTACCGATATGGATCAATTTTTGGTTCTGGGAGATTTAAATTTATATGAAGTTACGTGTAGTCCACATAAGAAAAATCAAATGTCTTACTACCCATAGCACAACAAGACTTTCTTGATGGGTTGCTTGACATATCTTTACCCCAAGTAACCCATGTTCGAAATTCACTTCATCGCTTACTAGACCTGTGCTTTGTAACAAACCCTAAAGGCGTGTTTCTGTCCAGAATACACTTATTTAACCTATAGATCCTTTTCATTCTACATTCGATGTGACAATCGACTGTTATAGAAGAAAAATCAGAAAAGTCTCCTAAGCTATCAGACTTTCTGAGGCTAAACTATTTTATATTTGGCTTTGATTGGTCTAATCTCTACCCATGCAATATAATGGCTGATGCTCTTAACATTTTTTTTCAGCAATAAAATTTTTTTTAAATCTTGTGTTCCGTGGTAATATCCGTGTATCTCCAACAAACCATCTTGGGTTTGCAAAGACCTGACATACCTTAGAAATGTATAGTACAGAATTTCGAGTAAATATAAACAAAACGGCTCTTGATTTCTTTTTTCTAGATTATTAAGTAAACGTTCAAGTTTTACCGTGCTAAATGCTCAGTGTTACACAAATTAATCAAATCATTGCAGGGTTCAGTTCTCCAAGGAGCCTAAGCAGTTTTATAACTTTTCTAATATTAAGTGTAAATCTAATTCGTGTCCTTCCTCGCTTCCTAGACAGAAACTACAGATCGGGTAATAGCCGATTTATGTGCCCAGTTTTTTTAAACGACTTATTCTACCTCGTCTCATTAAACGCAGCCTTATTACTACACCGTTTCCAAGACGAATCCAATTTACTGTCCCATCTTAAACGAAAGTTCTCTGTTATTAGATGATCAACGTATTAATCCTGCTTATTCGCCAGAGACTGATGGTATTCCTGATTGCGTGCTTGGGTATTGCGCAGAAGTTCTAGAAGCTCCCTTTTTAAATTGTTACCCTTATCACTCGAAACCTTCTAATTTCCACATATTTGAAAAGAGTCATTTGTACTTCCCCTTCGCAAGAAATGCTTTTTGAAAATATTTTGACTCCAAATT